GAAGCAGTAGAAGGTTCTCCAATTAATTCAGTGCTCTAGTTAGTTAGGGTACACTTCATTCAAGTGGATTCTACACGGAGCTCTGCTCTCAGAGTCCTAAAAAGAATCATGATATTTGACATAGTTTCTGTCTGCCTGTTGAGGGAAAAGGATAGGGTTGCAAAAGTCTCACACATAGGTTTTAAAACCACCTTATTGGGACCAGCAGATGGCATAATGGCTACGTTGCTGGACCACCATGTAGTCAACCGCGGTTCAAGTCCTGGACCCGGTGGCTTAAACTCACGCCAGGCGCGTGTGCGTGCGTGCCCAAGATCCGGAGAGGAGAATGGAGGAGAAGGGATTGCGGCATGACCATCCCCCCAGAGGGTGATTTCTCGCTTTCTGTCTCTCTGTTTCTCTCTGTCTTTCTGGCAAGCACACAAGCCCTATAGCAAAAACCTCTCAAAAACAAACAAACAAACAAAAAATACCTGATCATTATAGAGGAAAAATGCTTTGTGAAGGGACTTTGATATGTTTATGAAAAAATGAGATTAAAATGTGAGTTCATTCTGGTGCGAAAAAAAACATTGAAATCCATGCATAGTTTTTTCATGATACGCTTTTTCATGACATTCTTGAAGATTCATTGTATATCTGGTTAATCCAGTCATTAAGTAAAACTATCTTTCATCTTTTTCTCCATTTCTCCTAGAAAGTCGGAGCTCTGTCAGTCTCATTTTGCTTATCCTACTAATGAATAAACATGTCTGGCTCTGAAAATGCAAATCTTCCCTGAAGTCATTATACCAAGATAGGAATGGAAGGAATGCCCTTCTGCCCTAGAACTCTGGAAAGAACCATGTGTTTTTCGCATTATGAACTAGATGAAGGAAACCAGTTTGATAAGTCATTAAAACAGAGAACTACTGAAAGACATCGATCTTATTTTCCTATGCAATATGAAGATGTACGTGACTACTCATAAACCTTTGCTTCATTTTTTCTTAATGTATGTCAGATATTATTTTTTCTGGGGGGGGGAGAGGTTTTTGCTATAGGGCGCATGCACTCGCCAGACAGACAGACAGAAACAGAGACAAAAAGTGAGAAATCACCCCACAGGGGGGATAGCCACGCCGCAATCCCTTCTCCTCCATTCTCCTCTTGGGATCTTGGGCACGCACACACACGCGCCCGGCATGAGTTCTAAGCCACCAGGTCCGGGACTCCAACCGTGGTCGTCTACGTGGGAGTCCAGCGACATAGCCATTACTCTAACTGCTGGTCCCATACGTCTGATATTGAAGTCCCCTCAGACTGCATGTGTGCCTCCCCAGTGAACACCTTGATTTCAGCCTGATGAGACCTGAAGCAGAGTACCAAAGCGGAACTACTGGACTTGCGATCTAAGAAACTGTGAGGTCAATGAGTAGAGTTTGACACTCCATCTGGCACGTTGATACACAGCAACCGAAAACTGACACGAGGGTGTCTTCAAAATGTGACAATGTTGGGACCAGCAGATGGCACAATGGCTATGTCACCGGATTCCCACATAGTCAACCACAGTTAGAGTCCTGGACCCGGCGGCTTAAACTCACGCCGGGCGCATGTGCATGTGTGCCCAAGATCCTGAGAGGAGAACGGAGAAGGGATTGTGTTGTGACCATCCCCCTGGGGGGTGATTTCTCGCTTTCTGTCTCTCTGTCTCTCTCTGTCTGTCTGGAGAGCGCATGCGCCCTATAGTGAAAATCTCTCCAAAGGAAAAAAAAAAAATGTGACAATGTTGAGACCAGCAGATGGCACAATGGCTATGTCACTGGATTCCCATGTAATCAACCACAGTTCAAGTCCCGGACCCAGTGGCTTAAACTCACACTGGGCACATGTGTGTGCATGCCCAAGCTCCCGAGAGGAAAATGGAGGAGAAGGGATTGTGGTGTGGCCATCCCCCCTGAGGGGTGATTTCTCTCTTGCTGTCTCTTTGTCTCTCTCTGTCTTTCTGGTAAGCGCATGCACCCTATAACAAAAACCTCTCCCCCAAAAAAATGACAATATCTATTATGAAAAAAACTATGCATGAAACTTGATTTTTTTTTTCACCAAAATAAACTTGGGCTTTAATCCCATTTTTTATGAACTATTTGAAGTCTCCTTGTGGGACTTCCTGTGGATCTCTGAAAATCCATTTCTCTCTTTTCCTGGTTGATTATTGGACTTCCATAAGAAATACACACACATTCCATGGGTCTGCTCGTATCAGCTCCTGGCTCGTAAATGCAGTTGTTCCAGAGTCTAAAAGCTCTCACCTCTCCTACGTCCCTTACTCCAAATGTGGGCACTGACGATGTATTAACTATATTTTCTACTATTTTCTACTCTAGTGATCTGGAAACTGCCCCTCCCAGAACTAGTGAATTCCCAGGGAAAGTAAATGACTCTCCAGGGATCTTTTATAAGTCAATCAACCAATCTGAGCCCGAATTCACCAACTCTTTTGTTTTTGTTTTTGTTTTTTTCTGTAAGGTGCTTGAGCTCCCTGGAGAGAAACAGAGGGGGAAGGTAAGACATCACCCTCCCTCCAAGGTGGGGATGCCCTGTCGCAGTCCCTTTTCTTTAATTCAATCCCTCTTTGGATTTGGGGGGCACATACGCCCATGTACCCAGTATAGTTTCCAAGTTGCCAGGTCTGGGACTCAAACTGCACACTCAGCCATATGGGATCCAGACACCTTAACCACCATGCCACCTGGCTTGTCCACACCAACTATCTTTTTCATTGACCTCTCCAGGGTTGAACCATATTCCTCTACTCTAATCACTACAGGGACAGATCCCAGATCATTTAAGATAGCCTCTGAGTCCTAGAGCACCGTGCAATTTTCCCAACTAGCAATCCTAAACCTGCCTAGCCTGTTTACCCTGTCTCAACTAGCACATTCCTACAGACACACACTAAAAACTCTCTCATGCGACACCGCCCTCATGCCAACGACCCTCACACTTCCCCTGTAGTTAAGTGGCCCTTCCTCACGATCCCCTTTCTCTTCTGAACTAAAGTAACAAGCTATGTTTTTGTTTTTAATCATAATTATCTCTTGATCTGTTGGCCTCACCATACCTAAAGAAAAATAAAATCCCAGTTACATTTTTTTTTTTTGAGATGCTTTTGCTATATGGCGTGTGCGCCAGACAGAGAGAGACAGAGAGACAGAAAGTAAGAAATCATGCCCCAGGGGGGATGGCCATGCCACAATCTCTTCTCCTCCATTCTCCTCTCAGGATCTTGGGCACGCACGCACACGCGCCCAGCGTGAGTTTTAAGCCACCAAGTCCAGGGCGCAAACCGCGGTCGACTATGTGGGAGTCCAGTGACATAGCCATTACGCTAACTGCTGGTCCCAATCCCAGTTACTTTTTAACCCAGGCTGGTTCTTTAACAACTCAGAGCACAGCTCACACCAGGTTTTTGTTTTGGGGTTTTTTTGGAGAGGTTTTTGCTATAGGGCATGTATGCTCTCCAGAAAGGGAAAGACAGAGACAGAAAGCGAGAGTCAACCCCCAAAGGGGGATGGCCATGTCATAATCCCTTCTCCTCCATTCTCCTTTCGGGATCCTGGGCACGCATGCACACATGCCTGGTGTGAGTTTAAGTCACCGGGTCCGGGACTCGAACCGCAGTTGACTACATGGGAGTCCAACGACATAGCCATTATGCCAACTGCTGGTCCCTACACCGGGTTTTTAACCAAGTACTTGAGTAACAGGAAACAGAAGCCAGACCAGATGCTCTGCCACCAATAGACAAAGCCAGTCTTGGAGCCCACATGATGGGACCTAACCCCAGGGTCCCAACCAACCCAGTGGACTTCAAGTGGTGAAAGCAGTTTATTCCCCACCACTTAGCCTGTCCCGGCTCCCAAGTCATCCATGTCCTGGCCCTCTATTCTTCTAACTGCATGAGGGACATGGGTTCTCATTTTCTACTTCCGTATGATACATCTCATTGAAACACATAAACCTTTAGGAGAAAGCACTTTGTCAAAGTAGTAACATCGATGGCCCAAATAGGCCAATTATAATATTAGGTCATCAGGAAAGTCATGACGTATTTTTCTGTTCTTCTATGCAAAAAGGCATCATGACTTTTCCAACCACCCAATAGCTAATGCTGTATTTTCTCAGCAGCTGACTTCCTCGACCTTAAATAGCACCATATACAGAATTCCAAACCTTTACTCTAATTTCATATTTAGGAAAGAAAACATTTATCTACCTCCTCTAGTCAACAATCGTGTTAAACCCACAATACATTGATTGACTTCACCACAAAGATCGTGTAACAAATCAATCAATTATGTCCTAATCAGATTGTTGATGACCTTAATGTATTTTCTTCCCCCTGAGGAAGAAGTAGGTGCTTTATATTTACATATCTAAGAAATCCATTTTGGCAAATTTCCAAAAACAAAAGAAGTTTTCTGGAAAGTCCAAGACTCCATTTCCAGAGACATAGAACTAGTAGCTAGCCCTAACCAGAAGCTGTCCATTTACAAACAGAAGGAAGGTCTGTGGTTCTAACCCCATCAGATTCATGTACATATCACCATAATTGCCATTTATAATATGAGGGAAGCGCTCACAGATTTTTGGCAAATGCTTGGGAATTATCTATATAAGTTCTGGATTCTTCTTTGTAATGTTTATGTGCAAAGATACTAGAAACTCTTTTAAAATCCTAATAACTACTTGAAACATAAGACCTTGAATTAAAAATCTGCATAATCAAAGAATGAATTTGGGTAAGTATAACCTAAGGCAAAGACATTCCTCCTAAATTTGCATCATCTGAACCTTATCCTTAGAAACCCTCAGCCTTATATTGAGGGGCAACATTAGGGGACATTTGATAAACTCATGTCGAGGGACATTTACTAAAAAAAAACTGACCTATATGCTATACTGTCAGGTCATGAAAGAGATGGCCGTTTCAGGTATGTTTC